TCCTGCGGTTGAGTGTTTCATAACTCAAACTATTTTGCTAGGGTCAAGGTCAATATCTGAAAGGAGAACAGTTTGGGACTGAGCGGAAGGCAAACGGCATTCAATTTTGGCTTTTTCACTAACTAATTTGCTGGGTTGGGTGTATTCAGTTAAAAAATAAAGATTGGTTAGAACTCCGCTATTAATTCAAGGAAAAGTAGGGTTCTCTGAATAACTCAAACTGTTGACCCTACTAAATATGATATTTTCGACTTGTAATTCGCAACTTTGCTTTCTTTCGGGAGTGAGAACTAACTTGCCACTAACTATTAAAACACTGTCATGATTAATTTCCTTTAATTTTTCGGATAAACCCGAAGCACAAATAACTTGTAAATTTTGTAAACATGAGCCATCATTGAGTTCAATAAATCTATTTTGACGAAATGATTTTACCCAACCACCAACTTTAATTTTTCCCCCTTTGCTTAACTTTTCAGACTGCTGGTAAATATTTTTAATGGAAATTATCATTTGGGATTATTCAGAATAGTCTGGAACAGGTTTGATAGTTATTAATTATTTTTAAGATTTTTTAATATTGATTGCCAAAGTTGCCAATGGTTTGTAGAACAAAAAAATGTCCTTCCAAAATAAAAATTATATCATAAAATTAGATTAAGAAAAAGAGTATTAAAAATCTGCTATGAATAAAGAAAACAACCAACTGATTTGTGACACTTTTGTGGATGCGATAGAGTGGCTGGAAAAGCATATTGAAAAGGCTAACTATTATTCCGATTGAGAGGAAAGAAAAACCATTCAAATTAGTTCGATTACCCGACCCGATATTGGCACGATGGAAGCAGTTAGGGCTAGAAGGTGTTTTTTAGTCGCATTAAAAGGTCTTGAAGTAAACTTGGGATTTCGTGAAAACAAGTCTTTTCCAAAGGAGGATTTAAAGACCAAATTTTTCCAATGAATTGCGGCAGTTAAAATTAGTTCTGATAATTGCCCTGCTGACTTGGGGTTGCTCCTCTATTATTTTCACGAAGTTTTAGAAGGTCGTGGTGAGGAATTTTTTCGGCAAAGTTCAAAAAAAGCGGACAAAGAAATTTCCAAAATGAGTAAGGAGGAACGAGAAAAAGGATGGAGTGACTACCATTCGGAAGTTATGAAACAATACCAAAAAGTAGAAGAAACTGAAAATCGGGAATTTAATCCTGATGGTAGTGCCGAGCAAGGTCAAGCAAGTTTTAAAAAAATTGTGTCCACTATTTCTAAATACATTACTGAAATAGACAATTTAAAGAAAGAATTAGAAACTGAAAAGGCAAAACCAAAATTAAAGGCTAATGACACTGACCCTCGTGATACTCATGAATACAAATTATTAAAGTCAGAATTGACAAAATGAACTAATGCCTTTAACTCTTCTACTTATCCTACTCCCCAGCATGTTGCTAAAAAAATAACTGACTTACAGAACGAATTGGCTTCTAAAACTGATGTTTCACCAAAAAACCAAGAGAAGATTAACAATTTTGATAAACTCAAATTAGAAAGAGATAATTTAGTAGAAGATAGGGATAAATGAAAAAGAAAGTTTGAAGAAGAAAAAACTAAAATTGATAAAGAAAAAGAGCAGACTAGCAAAATATACCAAGTAGTATTAAATAAGCAAGATAATATCAATAGTTTAACCGAGCAACTAGCAAAAGAAAAAGAAAAGACTAAAAATTTGGAAAAGGATATTCAAACCTTAACTAATGAAAAGAAATGACTGGAAAGACAAAAAGAAGAAGATAGAAATTTGATAAATAGGCAGTCAGAACAAATACGAAAATTAGCAAGAAAATAAAGGAGAGGATAACGAAGAACTAATTGCTGAAAGAGATGAGTTAGCCAGAGATAAAAAGACTTTGGAGCAGCAAGTATTGGCTCAAAATAACCAGTTAAGGAATAAACAACAAGAAGTCTCTAACAAAGAACAAGAGATTGAAAGATTGAAAAAAGAGAAGTCCCAATCTGAAATCTCTTTAAATAAAAAAATTACTGAACTGAAAAAAGAGTTAGAAAGCCAGTTAGAGAGTGTAAAAAATGATAGAGAAACAAAAATAGAAGAATTGAAAGCAATGAAAGAGGAAAAGGAAAGAATAAAAATTGAACTTGAAGTAATAAAAAATCAGCAAAAAGAAAGAGAAGAACAAGAGAAAAATAGTTTTAATGTTAACACTTCATATGTCATTGAGGAGTGGATACAGAGATGAAAACAATCTAGTAATGGTAATACTGAACCAATTTTTTTAACTCCTGAAATGGATAAGTTATTTTCTTATTTAGAAAAACACAGTGAAAATTACAAAGGAAGATATGCTTTTAAAGATTTAAGCCACATATACTCTAACCTTTTAACAAAAGGTCTGTTAGAAAGTTTAAAACCAATAAACCAACAAATAGAAGAATTAGAGAAAAAAATAGAAGACTTAAAGAGGGTTAGAGATTTTCCAGAAACCACAAAAAATCCAAGAACTATTAATAGTTGGTTTAAAGAAGGTTTGATAATTCAACAACAAATTGACTTATTACATGAAATGGCTCAAAAAGGAATGATTAATATTGATTTTGATAATACTCTTTATACTTGACAGCAAGTAGTAGAAATGTTAAAATAACTTATAATTATCATCGATATGTCAACTGAAAGCAAAAAACAATATCACTCTTTTAACAAAGGTTTTTACTATGACAAATTTAACCAAAAGGGAATAGAACTTTTTAATCATTTACAAAGAAATCCCAATGATGAAATATCCAAGAGTAAATTAGAGTTTATCAATAACTTTTTAAAAGAGGGTAATGAAGGCAGATGAGCCACTGTTTGACATGAATGAGAAAAAAATGATTTTTGTTGACCAATTGAACAAATTTTTTCTGGTAAAAGAGGAAATTAATTATTAAAATAGTAGTATGACTAAAAAACAACTAAAAACCATGTCAGTTAGTCGCGGAATAGCCCCAGCCGAAAACCGAGAAGTCATCCAAGAATTAAGAGAAATCAAAAGCGATATTAAAGAGG